AAATTATTATTATTAATACAGTATTAACAATTTCCAGCAGGGAATATTTGGTTTTTGCTCATTATTTTATAGTGAAGTTAAAAATAAGTTCAGGGGTCTCAAGTCTCCGGCAAGTCGCTGGAATCTCTCGGAAATCGGGATAGCCTCCAGCACTCCAGCAACCAAGCAAGAATCTCACGAAAACTAACCCACCTCAAGAATTCATTATATCTTCATGTTTTTACCACTTATGACCCCTTCCTTACAAATTGTCTCATAGAAGAAAGTGTCTATTTGTATTATTATCACTATGCGAAAATACAATTTAATAGGCTATGTTAAGAAAGTTAACCAGATCACCCGGAAATGACTCCTTCCTACTCAGGACCCCTGTAGGTAACATGACTGGCTTCGTGGACGAAAATAGTGTTCGACTGTTAATAGTAAATAAAATAATCAGATTAATTCAGCACTAAAGTACCGTAATATCTGTATTCAAGAAAAAGATTTATTATGTCGGATGAATTGATTTTATATGTAAATAATTAATTTTACGGATTAAAGAAAGAAAATGCAACTGTTTATCATCTTTAGGTCGATCTTTATTTGGTAAATATTGAAACTACTGTAATTTCAATTTATTTGGAGGGTAATTGTTCATACCAACGATAACAGTGATTCAATATGAACTCATAACTTAAAAGTTAATTAACATTTTGAACATTGCATTTGCTAAAATTTAGATATGGAAATAACTGTTGCCGAAGCCATCTATTAAAATATTCTGTCTGTCAGTCTGTTATTTAAATCTGTAAATTATTATCATTATCATCAACGTCATCATTATCACCACTATCACCACACAGTCTGGACGGACCGTCATTAGAAACAATCCGTGGCGCACGCATCGTGGCGCTACGTAATATAATCGCAGTGGGCGCAGTGAGTACCCGGCTTAAGAATTATGGAGATAACAACCAAAAATCGTATTGTTATTGAATAATAAACAGTTATTTAGCATTGTGGAAAGTAAAAGCTGTTACGTAAGCATGGATTATTGGGCTCGTCACGAAAGACACTATTACTTTAGTTAAAGTTAAAATCTATAGGGCAGAGCATAAAAGTATAAAATATACGTTTTATAGCGCCATGGTCGAAGATCTTCCATAGTTTGAGGCTATTTGAAACCTAGTTGAAGATATTCAAATGCACATCCAAGCAGTTATCAGTGTGTTTATTTATCCATTCTTCGAAACCAACAGGTTTAGTGTACAGACCATATCTGCCATGGCTTGCACACTCATTGTTTGGAATACTAACTCCGACCACTGTCCATGTATCATCATATCTAAGACATACCAAAGCACCCCCAGCATCACCAATGCAGGCAGATGGACTACTAGACCTGAAATTATGAAGGAAAAAAAAAAAGATTTTCGTTGAAGAACAGTTAGTTATCCTTTGATATTTTCCCTGAAAGATGTTTATTACATGTTAATAATTATTACAGTACAGTACAACTATAATTAAGACCGCTGAATTATTATTATTATAAATTATTTATCTAGCCTGGCCAAGAAAAGAGGACAAGTAAAGCAACTGATGTAAATACAATGTACAAAGAATGAAAATCGAAATCGTGTACGCTACACCACAACGCTCGAGTTTCAACATACGGGTTAATACTCAAAAAAAACTTTTATGTAAATTTAAAGGCGCCATTGAAAATGATGTTTAGGCGTATTTTGGTTGGCTAAATCTACGGCAGCCATCTTGGTGTATACACTCAGGCTCAACTCTGCATGTTTAGAACATCGAATGCATTGGAATTAGGGTGTACGGTAAGAATGGCCCCGGAAAAAATGGCTCCGGAAAAATGGCCCCGGAAAAAATGGCCCCGGTAAAAATGGCCCCAAATGACAGGTAGGTGAAAATGGCCCCAATAATAAAATTCTGTATTAAAACTGATTTTTTTAAAATCATTATATGCATTTTTTTAAACTGAAATAATTTAGTTTTTAAAAGGATTCTATCATCAAATAAATTGCCATTTACATTTTACTTTTTTTCAGAAATTACATATTCAATGATAAAATATTCAAAGATAAAAAAAGCCATGAATAACACACACACATTTTTTTCCATTTAAATGTTAAAAAATAGCAACAACATAATCAATAAATCAACATAAATCATGCATTTATTAATATTAAAATAATTTATTTGTGGCCAATTTCTAGGAAGCGGAATCACAATTTTCCAGAAATTCAATCCGGGTATTGGTAAACCCCACAAACAATGAGTTTATATGAACATCAAATTATTAATTTTTTTTTTAGAAAAAGAGAGTTCAACAATCGTAATTAAAGGGTTTGGATGGGGTTCGCGGTGTGTTTGGAGGATTGTGGTGTATTTGCAAGTATTTTTTCACAAAAAAAAAAATCAACATTTTAACCAAAAAATAGGTTCTTATAAATATTTAATTTTCTTATTGATAGTCAATCACAATTGAATTGTTTGGTTTTCTACAGTGTGTTTTAGGAGGTTTTT